AGAATCATTGGGACAGTGGACGGCATGCAAAAGGCCCGTCACAGGAGTTAAAGAGCAACAAAAGTAGCGGAAGGGAAGGGGGGTCAATTTTTGAACAAAATTTTGCGTACGTACTTTGTGCACGCCGCCTTATCAATTAAACACCTTTCTATTTGATGGCATATAGTATTTAGGTATCATATAATACTTTATAGAAATTAGCATTAATTTGACGATTAATATAAATTCCCAGAATAAATTACTATTGTAGTATATGAATGAGTCATAATTTTTCATATAACTCGTATTATTTTGTAACATATTTTCTGAAAATCTTTGATTATATAACAAATTTATCCAAGGTCTAATTATAATAATTTTACTAAATATTTTAACACGATGAGAAAATTCTAATCAAAAAACTTTAAACAATTGATTGTACAATTAAAATTTATACCGTATAATTAATTTTAAAAAATTGAGCAAACAAAATTATAAATTTTTTTGATACACATTAAATATTTTATATATTAAACTTAATATCAGTACTTTTTCTGAAATAATTAGCGTATAGTTTAATATTGCCTGGACCATTAGCCAGGTACATGTATTGTTAATTACAAACGACCCGTTTTTCTAGGCCTAACAGTAGGCGTTTGGGTGAGTGATGGAAAATACTGTCCAATAGTTTTAAGGGACGGTCGGTATTAGCCGTCGAAACAAACTTATATCGCAGTATGAGGTTAATGAGAGTCAGTTTGAGCTCCAGGTGCACAAACCGCATGGCTATGCACTGACGGCTACCTAAGCTAAACGGAAAGTATGCATTTGGCACCAGTTTGTCCTTATTTTCGGGCATAAACCTGTACGGGTCGAACACACTGTAGTTCCTATAGTACTGTTCATAATGGTGTACCCCATACACCGGGATCTCTACGGTATCGCCCTTTTTAAGTGTAATACCGGTGTCGCCTAACTTATAGTCGGTGAGAGGCATACGTCTCATACGTATGGAAATGGTGTGCAGTCGTAATGACTCGCTGATGACGGCTTCGAGGAATGGCATCTTTGAGAGGGACTCGTAGTCTATCTCTTTGTCATCGGATCCGATGGCAGCCATCACTTCTTCGTATACTTTTTGCTGATGATTGGGATGTAGGGCTAACTCGTATGCTATGAATGATAGGGTTGTGGCGACCACTTTGCACCCACTGTTCAGGAATAGCCAACTGTTGGCCAGTGCCTCGTCTTCAGACATATAACTGTCCCCTGTTTTGCTGATTTTCCGGTTGACCCCATTGGTGACCCCATTGGTGACCCCATTGGTAACACCATTCGTGCCTAGTGTTTAATAATTTATTAATTATGTCAATATATCTAAATTGTTATATTATATTATAAGTTTAAATTAAACATATTTTCAAATTCTATTATATGGGAAAACTGACTAAATATCAGAAATTATATCAGAAAACATATAATCAAATTAAAAATGTTTTATAAAAAATTATTATTTTAAATTCACTAACATAAATTTATTTTAAATATTTAAAATTTAACATTTCTAATATTAACTGATTGTGTATGACATTAACTTTGTCATTTTAAAAAGCCGTGATTTGACATTTGGCGTGGCGACTACATGTCGAGGCACTGGTAGACAATCATTTGAGTATAAATCTGTGTTATTTTATTTATGTTTTTTCCTTTCTACCGGTATTAATTTTTAATTCTATTATAATTTTAAATTGTGACAATTAATCAGGGTTAAAAATTATAAATTATTATAATTTATAATCATTGCTTACCATTAATTTTTCCATTTGTAGCACTAATATCCTGGTCATCTTCATCTTTACTATCAGTCTCAGCGTTATTATTGGCCGCATTGAGGGCTAAATCTATGAAATCGTTTGAAATACTGTTTGTATTTCGCTTTCTCTCAGCGATTATATGTCGGGTCATCGAAAAGAAGTACTCATTGGCCGACTCGCGCACCGGGTGTTTCACTCCCAGGGCGTTGAGCACCGACTTCGGCAACAGTATGGACAGCAATAGGCGCAGTCGACTCGGAGTGAACACGTCGTTAGCGTGTCCTACAAAGGCTTTCCTATCACTCGTGTCGTCCCATGGATTCAGTTTAAAGCTATACAAACACGTTGTGATCACATCGGCGGCCAGTCTATCAAAAACATTGATTATGTCGACCTCAGTGTTGGAGGGGGTAGTGGTGGTGATCCGGGTGTCCAACGCCTGTACCATATCTTTCACGCAGTCCTTGATTTGGACAAACATTTTACGCATCCGTGAGGCGGAGAAAGTCGGTGAAAGTACCGCCCGTTGTCGGCGCCACTCGTCGCCCACCTTTACCTCGATATTCGTGGCCAGTATTGGGTGGGCTTTCGAGTGGAAAAGTGGGTTTGCCTCCTTATCGTTAAACAGATGAAAGTCTGTGACCAAAATGCTTTTGATGAGCTCCGGGTCCGCCACCGTTAGTATGGGTCGATTGCCTTCAAAAATGCTTTTAATGATAAAAATGGTGTTAATTTTTTGAAATGATTTCTTTGTGTCCGAAATACCCGTATATTTTGCCGAATTCGTGAATCCATTGGACCTCCAGATCAGTGGTTTGGTTCAGAAACTTATGCAAAGTATTGCCGAAACCAATGTAAGGCTTGGGGCCCCGTATGCCACGTTTGGCCCAGTAGTCAAAGTTTCGCGTAAAGTATCTGTTAATAACAGAATTATTTTATTTATTTAATTGCTAATTAACTAATTACAAATAATTAGTACCTGTATACGATATATAATATACAGGGTAATATGATAGCCCACGAATTGAATACAAATAACGACTGAATATTAGTGAACATTATTATGATTTGTAAATCTAGTATATATTCACTACAGAATAGCTAATATTGTACGAGTACTGTATGAATTTTAACTAAAAATGATCCAGACGTACTATTTATACTTTTAAAAGTGTTGAAATTAAAATAACAGGTGATTCTATAATATAGCCACGATTCTAGTTTGCCTGATTTTTGTGGGCTATTTTTATAACTTTTATTCATTATACTTATTAAAATATTAGTTTTAAAATGTTATTTTTCAAAATTTATATTATGAGGTAGAGGGGAGCAGGTAAACTAGTATTAATATTTAAAATTTGAGCCTTATGAATTAATTATATACAAATGCTCTTGTCAACTTGCACATTTTTGGCTAGGAATCAATTAACAAACTGTTTTGATTTTATTACAAATCAATTGTCTAGACGTTAGAAAAAATATTTTCAAGTTGTTAAACTTTTATTTAAACATTTAAATCTAGACTATTAAACACAAAATTGATTAAATTCGGTTCAAGTTACAAGAATATTGTGATGATCTATTTTATTTATTATTTGATATTTATGGCTAATTATAGCAATATTATCAATTTTCATTGCGTAATTTTAAATGTTAAAAAAAATATTTATGACAAGTAGCTAACTATTAATAATTTATATGTTTATTAGTCACAGGTTATGGGCTGATCAAAATTGTGGTTTAGCGTGATAAACTGACAATTGACTTAAAATAAAACAATAATTACCAGGGAATTGAATTATTTTTTAGTACACTGCCTAACACGTGAAATGGTGCTGGGAGGGTGGGGTGACTCAATGAGCTATAATTCAATAATCCAACCATACTTGTCATGTTTACAATTATAATTATATGTGAATTATAAAATACATAGTTTAAAAATATAAGTATTTTATTAAAAATAAGTAATTTTGTATCAAATGCTAAATATTAAGAATTTCGATGAATATAATCTTTATAGTGTTTATAATTTTGTTTAACTTAATTAAATTAGTTTTAATATTAAAACTAAATATATATGAGCGATATATTTATTATATAAATATGGCTATATACTGACATAAGGTTTTATAAAAAATACTTCATTTTAAAAAATAAAAATATAAACATTAAAATTTTAATTCCGTTTATCTATGAAAATGATTTAATAAATCATATGACAACGATTTTTATACTAAAAAACAACTCTATGATTTTTACTTGTAGATTCATACAAATGAAATTCATTTTGGAAAGTAACTACAAATTGTGATCACAAATTCAAATGGTAAAAATAAAAATGTTTATTTTTATTTAAATTAAATAAAATTAACAATTTAATGAATTCAAGATTATACAGTATTACAACAAAATTATAGTCTATTTTAATTTATAAAAACATAATTATCTTAGTAGCTGCCATCAATACGGACTGGATAATCTACAATATTTCAAACTTGTTTGGGATTTTAATTTATACAATTTAATATGATATCTACTTATGTTTGTACTGTATACATTTAAATATAATATACAGTACAATATACAGTAATTTATATAGTATACTTTTTCGTTTTTTTCGAATAATAAAAATAATCATAATTATAATTTTTAATAATGACAATAAATACTCTACTCACGATAAATAACAGAAATAATTTAATTCATACTTTAATTTAAATTATATAAACATTTTAAATTTATTTTAACAAATCTTTACCAAACAACAAATAATCAAGATCATTTACTGGCAAATGGATCATCATTTTTACAATTGCCACCCTTTGGACAAAATTGTCGCCGATTTGTTGAATACATTCGCACGGAATTCTCAATCCGGATACTATGGACAACATTCACAACAATATTATAAGTAAAATACATATCAATCATAAACTGTGCATTTTTGTATAATTGTAGCTAGTACACACCGTTTGTTCAAGTTACTCATGTATCTGAATTGCAACTCCTTAACGTTACAGTTCACATCCAGCACACCATTGATTACTGCCGTAGTCTCCTTGGTTACGGGTACTGGTGTGGTGTATAGGGCTGTATACCCCGGCCCAGCGTCGGGGACCTTAATCTGGTTATAAGTACTCAGTGATACATTAAGATTATCCCCTCCCGACACTTGTATCGTTATATTTCCATCACAAGTGCTGCCGACCTTGCTCACTAGCTAAAAGTAGTTTATATAAAAATAAAATCATAAAGTCATATAAATCATAAAGTATAATATAAAGTCATATAAATAATAATTGAACCAATTCACTTAAGCATATGATTATGTAGCATGTATTTCACTAGATTATGATTATAATGATTTATCTGGATACATAATTTGCATATTAACAAATTATGTTCCTATCATGTTACAAATATGTTTTTATCATTGATAATCAAAGCACACAAAATTTACCACGAACTGATAATGGTACAAGCAGAAGTCGGGTCCAAACACGTCCCTTGAATTGATGAAGTATTTGGCATTATCCCGGTGCCAGTGTTGGGTGTCGTCCCAAAAGTCTATGTCAAACTCCATGGGCACGCAATGGTTTTTATCGCAATCGTTGCACATACCGAGCATGAAATCCTCGTACGAATTGCACTTATAGGCTATGGGCTGACACAGGGTGTCGTTATGTTTAGGTGTGGCCAACGCGTAGTAATTGGATCGCTCGTGGTTGCACGTCAACATGCCCAGGGTCTCTGCAATCAGGGTCATTATCAAAGATATTAATATGAGAAAAAGGTGTTAAATGTAATTATTGTTTTTGCTGGCTACTATATCTTGACTAAATATTTCCGATACTTATATTACAGCGCAATGACATACCTGTGTGCATCGCCCAGGGCGACAACATAAATAAAAGATTGACACCGGACATTTTTAATGTCTCGTTTATCCAGGGACAACCAGGCTGTTGTAAACCTGGTTGAAATATAAAGTTCAGTTACTCGAGTAATTGAAAAATTATTAATTAACCAGGCACCTCTGTTAATGTAAAAATCGGTGGTGCCAATCCTGTCCAAATAACCAAAACCTGTAATCAAATTTATCATGTTAATTTTTAGCTCAAATTATTTGTCGTTTATAGTGTACCGTCAGCGCCGGCTATTTTATGGCCAGCAGTGCCGTCCGTATGGATAACGTTCACAATCTGAGCGTCGTTTTCGGTGAGCCTGAGGGCTGGGGGCGCGGCTATGAAGGAGGGTCCGGCCGGGTCGGTGGCCAACAAGTGCCCGATCTGGGGGTCCTTTACTTGTTTGGCGGCCATACCGGCCACGTGTGAGCCCAGGCTGTGACCGATGAGGTGAAATTTGTTGACATCTGCCCCCAAGTCATACTTCAGTTTGTTTATAACACAACCCACGAGTTTGCCAACGATTGGCGTATTGGCCGCCGAGTGTATGTACGTAATCGCCCGGCCGGGTATGTGCCAGTCCACCACTATTACGTTTATGCACTTCTTGTTTAAAAATAGGTCTTTCATTTGCTGGTCATACAAAATAAACCGTATTTTAGACTTGTGATCAAGCATATTTTTTATTCTTGAGGTTTTTTTTGTCAATCATTAGCATGGTTGTATCATTTTGTGATTGTCTTATATCTTATATTTAAGATTTATATGACAGATATATTTTACCTCGAGCTGATTATTATAAATTCCCGCCAGTGAGCCAGGCCATTGTTGCATCCAACCGTGTATAATCATTCTGGTGCGTAGATGAGCTTTATACCCTGCTGCTATCCAATCTTTAGCTGACGATTTGTAGTTTAAAATATGAGCTTTGTCCCTGTTTTGACACGTGTATAGCCTAAATTGGACATCCATCTGAACAGGGTCCATTGGCAAAACGCCTAACGAGTTGATTATGCCACTAAAACCGTGGTGGTGTCGACCGAAACAATAATCATAATGAAATCCAAACGGCAGTAATTTAGTAAACTCTATAATATATAAAAGAAACAAGGAACATTCCCATAATTTTAATATTAATATTAATGCTTAATTTTAATAGGAAGTACAGAATAAACATGCACAAATTAGTTTAAAATGATAACTTGCGTGTGATGTAGTAGGCGGCTAATGTAGGTAGATTCCATATTTGATTAGACTGTTAATAAAGACCATGATACGTTATGATTATAAAATGCTTATTTTTGTGTTAATTACATACAATTGTGCCTAAGAAATCGGCTTCAGCAGAACAGCACATTAATAACGAGCATAAAACCAGAATTTTTAGCATGGTCAGTTTGTATTATTTAAATATTAAGAATATTAAATAATTGGAATTTATTTATAAAATATTTTCACTAAATAAATTATTGATATATTTATCTTTATATTATACAATTAATAGTAGTATGATAAATATAAATTACGATATACTATGTAACTCACATATAGAGACTAATCTGTATATATGAAATAAATTATAAAACCTAAAATTAGTAAAATATGAAATAATTTAGTAAAAGTAAAATTTGACTAGAGTAGAATAATTTAAAATTTAAACAGTAGCAACCTATGTAAAACAAGTATTTAATTATTATTTTTTACAGCCGATGTAAACGTGAAAGTTTTAAAACTATTTAAAAATCAGCTTATTTTCAAATCATCCAATGATCAATATGTATTTGCATATAGCGAATGGTTAGCTTATTAGTTATTTATATATGTAGAATACTGAGGTTTCAACTGATTCAGATTATTTTAGTAAAGTATTTAGGAAAAAATATTAATCAGTTGATAAAAGCAAAATAGTTGTGCCTATTTTAGTGTCAGTTTAATATTTATAAAATTAATGCATTGCCAATAGGATACTTGTTAATAATATTAACAATTGTTTAATAATATCAATACCATAAATCTCTCTCTCTCTCTCTCTCTCTCTCTCTCT